GGAGGAGGAGGAGGAGGAGGAGAGGAGGAGGAGGAGGAGGAGGAGGAGGAGGAGGGAGGAGGAGGAGGAGGAGGAGGAGGAGGAGGAGGAGGAGGAGGAGGAGGAGGAGGAGGAGGAGGAGGAGGAGGAGGAGGAGGAGGAGGAGGAGGAGGAGGAGGAGGAGGAGGAGCAGCAGCAGCAGCAGCAGCAGCAGCAGGAGGAGGAGGAGGAGGAGGAGGGGCAAAACGAGGAGGAGGAGGACGAGGAGGAGGAGGACGAGGAGGAGGGAGGAATAACAGTATATAGACGGCAGGAGGAGGAGGAACCAGGAAGGGGGGAAAGAGGGAGGGAGAGGAGGACGAACGGGACGGGTCCTTTGACGTAGTTCAGGAATCTGGCGTTTGCGGTGGTCTTCCGTAGTCAGCGGAAGTCTTTGTTTTTGATGTTTGTGACAGGCTCCTAACGTCGAGCACGATATCCGTTGTCAAGTTCTTGGTGCCACCCAGAATTGGAGTTAATTCGTTAGTATTCCCCGGCTCATTGCCGAGCACGTTCTCGTCGTATCGGTCGGGCACATTCGGCGTGGAAGGCCCAGGCACGTGCCCACAGATGGGCGGAATTCCGGGCAGGCCTGCAGTCAAGACGCCCAAGGAACATTTCTTGTTCAGGAGGAGCACTGGTTTTCGGGCCGCCGTGGCTGAGGCTCGCCGCGGCCGCAAAAGCTATTTCGTTCCTGATGTGGCGTTCCTCATGGTATCAGGATATCTGCAGGATGAACTCAGGTCGATCCAGAGCGCCCCCGGAACGCTCCGAAGCGGCGGCAGCGCTCGGCACATCATCTAGGCTAGACTTGCCAGTTTTCAGACACCCCCGAGGTGTCTCGATCCTTCATTGCCTTCATCCTGCCTTCGTCTTAGGTTTCGATGGCCCCGCATCAGATCACCCTGGCCACTACGCAGCGGAGGAGGAAGGAGTGGGACGCGGAGGAGGGAGGGGGGGGGGGGGAGGAGGGGGCGGGTACATGGAGGGAGGAGGAGGAGGAGGAGGAGGAGGAGGAGGAGGGAGGAGGAGGAGGAGGAGGAGGAGGACGAGGACGAGGAGGACGAGGACGAGGACGAGGACGAGGACGAGGACGAGGACGAGGAGGAGGAGGAGGAGGAGGAGGAGGAGGAGGAGGAGGAGGAGGAGGGAGGACGAGGACGAGGACGAGGACGAGGACGAGGAGGAGGAGGAGGAGGAGGGGGAGGGGGACGAGGAATAAGGAAGAGGAAAAGGAGGAAGGAGGAGTGCCAGGAGTGCCAGCTCCAGAACGCCGTCCGAGACTCCGAACAGCGTCTGGCGAGGGAGCTCAGATGAGCTCGACATGGATACCCACGGCGACTAGGCAGATGCCGAGGACTAAAAGGAGTACGCCGAAGGCGATCACGTTCAAGGGGGTGAGGGGTAGGCGCCCAAGCTGCCAAACGGCCCAGGCCCCCATCGTCCCCTCGGGCCGCCCCCCCGTGCCTTCCCGGAACGCCGACCAGCGGCGCGCGGCAGCTCGCCCTCAGGCGTGCGAGGTCCTTCACGGCCTCTCCTGGAGCATCCGGCGGCGGCGCAAGCGCTACTGCCTGGGAGAGGCCGTAGGCGCGCGCGCGAGGACGCCGAACCGCTCGCAGGCCACGTCAGCAGGCCCCGCGGGGGCCCGGCCGGCCAGGCCCATGTCCTCCACGTCCATGTCGAGGGCGCCGCCCTCCGCGCCGCGCGGCGCTGGCGGCGCCGCCGCCGCTTCGCGGCGCGCGCCGCGGGGTCGGCGGCCGCTGAACCAGCGCGGCCAGGACGAGCACTGGGGGGGGGGGCAGCGCGAGAAGTGCCATCCGCCTTAAGGCGCGGGAGCCTCGGCCATCCTGAACAGGGCAGTTGAGACTTCAGACCGCGCGACGGCCGCGACGGTGCGCTTCGGCGCGCCACCCAGCACGGCGCTGCGCACGACCGCCTCTGTGCTGCGCCATCCCTCGGACCCGCGAGGAGGAAGGAGGCGCGGCCGTGCGAACGTTTGAGCCAAAATGGAGGAGGAGGAGGAGGAGGAGGAGGAGGAGGAGGAGGAGGAGGAGGAGGAGGAGGAGGAGGAGGGGGGGGGGGCGTTGGAGCTTGGTGGGCGGGGAGTCTGGGGGGAGAAGTGGAATGTGGACCAGCTCTCGGCTCGGTTTGGACTCGCCACTGCAGAGGTGAGCAGCTGGAGCGAGAGACTGGGAGACATTCGGAAGGGCCCGAAGCGTCGTCCAGACAATGCTGCTCTGGATTAAATCAGTTTGTTGTCATCCTCCACTGGAGGGGCGGATCTTTGCGGGCTGCCATAGGTCACTGACCATGGCCGCACTGGGAAACAGAAACAGAGGAGGAGGAGGAGGAGGAGCAGGAGGATTAGGAGGAGGAGGCCATGTCATGCAGGGAGGGAGAAGGCTCGGGCAGGGCAAGACGCAGTGTGACACCTCGTACTCGCAGACACGCACGACCGCGAACGCAGGAGCCAGAGCCCATTAGCCACAGCGCGAAACCGAGCACCGAAAAAGGGGAAGACAACCCGCGCACTGCACAGCAAGAGGGACGCCGATGCAAGCGAGCGTGCCTGTTGACAAATACACGGCCGCTCGTGGACTCTAATCCTGCACAGCTCCTGTGCGTGCCACAATCAGGAAACTGCCGAGAGCGAGCTACGTGCCACAGTTCGTGTTTCGAGCCGCGTCAAGACTTAGATAATGACACGCCTCTCTTACCGCGCCGCCCCAAGCCACCCGAGGGGCATCACTCCCGCGTGCGACTCCACACCCCCGCGCACGCCAGGGCGAGGCACCCTGGCCGAAAGAAGGATGGGTGTGGAATCCACCATGAGTCCCCCGCAGGGGACCCGCCTCCCGCCCAGGCGCACGCGGTGTACGTGTCGGGCCACGGCAAAGGGAGGCAAGGTGACGAGGGAGCAATTTCCTTTTTACCTGGCACTCTACGGGCAAGCAGGGGTGACGAACGGGCTGCCACCCGCCTGTTATTCTGGGAAGGAAACCTAGTGGCATTGGTGCCAATTAGGATGAGGTAGAAGAGGATGAGGACGAGGAGGGAATGATCCTGGTTCGTCTTCGTCCTGGCCCCCGTCCCGGAGATCTTCGCAGGAGGCTGCCAGGGGGGCCTCCGCTTCCTGGAGGAGGTGGCGACCCTTTCAGTGGTGACAGTCCTTGGCACTGCCTGGATCCTCATGTAGCCGTTGGCCAGCGGCCGCGGCAGCCAGCCTTGCTCTGGCCTCATGGGGGAGTTTGGTGGCGCGTGCGGCGGTGAGGGCCAGAGTCAGCAGCAGGCACCAGCGGCGGACGTGTAGGCGAGGACGCGTTCGAGGGTGACGAGGCGGATGAGGACACAGAGGAGGATGAAGCGGAGGAGGGAGGACGCTGACGCTGACGCTGACGCTGTGGTGCGCTTCTCGGCCCGCCTTCTTTCTTGCCTTGGCCCTGGCCCCCTCTCCTGCTCCCTCCCCCTCTCCTTCTCCGCGTCCTCCCCTTGCCCTCGTGTTTCTTTGCCCTTGTGCGTTGTGTGGTTTCCCTCTCCTCTCTGCTTGGCTCCCCCTCCTCTCCGTCCGTCCGTCTGTCGGCCCGGTCTGTCCTTCCCCGTCGTCCTCCTTCCTTCTCCTCCTCCCCTTCTCGCTTCTCGGTTCCTCGCCCCCTTGCCCGTTTCTACCCCTTGCCTGGCCCGCGTTTCTTTGTCGGCCCGTCCCGGTGTCCGTGTAAGAGCCGCGGCGCCCCGCGCTGCAACGCTAGCGAATAGACCGGCGTGGACAGCGATATACAGGCAGCGCAATTGCATATTGTTCGGAGCCTGCGCTGGCCGTGATGGCACTGTGTTAGGGGTGTGAGTTCCGCTACGGTCTGCCAGAGCTGCGATTCAGGAGTTTCAGTGGTACATGTCAGTTGTGGGCCGCAATTGTTAGGCTCAAGTTGCATCCGCCTGCGAGGAGGAAGGAGGAGGAGGAGGAGGACCAGAGTAAAGGCCCAAGACTCATCAACGATGTTGGAATAAGCTCTCCCTTCAAGCTCCCTCCTCATATGCCCCTCGAAGGGTTCATTTCCAGTGAGGGACGTGCCCCGTTGGGAGACAACCGTTTGAAGATCCTGACGCGTGCCAAAGCACCATTCTCGGGACTTCAGCGCCACGAATCAACATGATTGTTGCAAAGGAGGAGGTGGAGGAGGATGATGAGGAGGAGCACGAGGAGCAGGAGGAGGCGGGAGAAGAGGAGGGAATTGAGGAGGGATGGTGATGATGATGATGCTGCTGATGATGATGATGATGATGATGGTGATGGTGGTGATGGTGATGATGATGATGATGATGATGATGGTGATGATGATGATGAAGATCAGGCTGATAATGATGATGCTGCTTTTGATGATGACGATTATGCTGCTGATGATGATGATGATGATACAACTGCTGCTGCTGATGATGATGCTGCTGCTGACGATGATGATAATGATGATGATGATGACGATTATGCTGATGATGCTGCTGATGATGATGCTGATGATGATGATGATGCTGATGATGCTGCTGATGATGATGAGTATGATGATGATGACGATGCTGCTGATGATGCTGATGCTGATGCTGATGGTGATTATTCTGATGGTGATGATGATGATGCTGCTGATGATGCTGATACTGATGATGATGATGCTGATGATGATGATGCTGATGCTGATGATGTGTATGATGATGATGACGATGATGATGATGATGATGATGACATGAATGATGATGATGATGATGATGATGCTGATGATGATGATGGTGATGATGATGGTGATGGTGGTGATGGTAATAATGATTATGATGATGATGATGATGATGATGATGATGATGATGATGATGATGCTGATGATGATGATGATGATGATGATGATGATGATGATGATGATGATTATTATCATTATTATTGTTATTATTATTGTGATTTTGAGGAGGAGGAGGACGACGACGACGACCCGGGACGCAAGGCGAAGCCCGCGGCGGAGCTCGATGGTCAGCAAGGCCTCTGCACGGAGCTAGGCTTCCGCAGCCTGCCCTGAGGGCGGGAGAAGGGAGGCGTCCACTCCCACTCCTCGCCCGCCCCCGTTGTCGGGCGCTGTCGCAGGCTCCTGCAGATTATCCTGCCTCAGGATGCGTCCCAGCAGCTGCGCCTCGGCGAGAGCGTTCTACTGCGGGGCCCCTGGATCGTCCCGAACGGCCGCCTGAGGTATACCGAGGCCCAGGAAGAGCCGAAAACGTCCAGAAACCTCGATCTTCGAATCTTGATCTTCGAACCTCGATCCTCGATCCTTGAACCTCGAACCTCGATCCTGAAGTGCGCCGCCAACCACAGAGGGGCGGGTGCCCGGGGCCGAAGCTAAGGGGGGGCGGAGGGGGGGTGGGCGGGTAGGGGAGCCGGCGCGTTCCGCGGCGTTTAAGCAAGGGACTTAGACCCCCTCGCGTCGTGAACCGTGAAAAACTCCCAGCGGACGTCTTTCGTTGTTCGGCCTTTGGGGGCCTTGGCCGGGCCTCAGGACCGTGACCGAAAAACCAGTCGCCAGGGAATAGGTCGAGACCTCCAGGGGTCAACGTTGTGCACAGAAACTCACTATGGCGGGTGTCTGTTGAGAGTTCTGGACTTCCGACGGCGTGATGTTTGTTCGCGGCGCAGCTCCCAGCCCGCAACGTGGTTCCTCGGAGATGGGGCTTGCGATTGTGATTTTTCGCGATGTGGCTTTTTGGGGGGCGACGTCAGATTCCAAGGCAGGTCCCCTTGCCGTGATGGCGTTGGGTGTCGTGGGCGCCGCTGTCGAGTTCCCAGAACTCTGCCGTAATCTTGTTTTCCAGTGCGACAACGCCAGCACCATCTCCCTCCTCGTCGGGACCATCAAGGCCCACCAGGGCCAACACATCGGCCGAGGGGGCTGACGCACTGGCCGCCGACACTGGCCGCGTTCCTTGCCCCTTGCCTCCATCCATTCGCGAAGGGCCAGCGGTGACGGTTATCAGCCAGGAGCGCAGCTTCACCAATGGCCACCACGGCACTGTCGTGGGCCGAACGGGGGAACACAATCAGCATTAGGTGGTCTAGCTGAACAGCAACACTGTCCACTTGCGAACGTCCAGCTTGACAGCTGCCCCCCAAGCGGGGATAAGTCCTCCGACGTCCGCCGCCGACCGGTAGACTGGCGTCCGACGACCGACCACGCCCGTCCGCCGCCCGTCCGTCGACTGCCCGACGACCGTTGTGACGATAGCATCGGAGGTCTGGACCACTTTCCCAGTACAGCTTTTCATCCAGAGTCGTTATGTGACGGTTTGGAGGCTTGGTGAGAGCCTCTAGATACCCAAGATGGCCCAACACGTTCCAACACGTTCCGCCGTTTCGTTTCACGACGCGAGGATGTCTGGGGAGGGAGAGAGAATGGGACTTTGACTGGAGGGAGGCAGGGAGGAGAGGACGGAGGAGAGGATTATTCGCCTGTTGGGTTTGTACCTTCTCTTCCCACCTTTTGCTCCGTTGCGTCTGCCGTGTGCATGCGGCTACTCTTCTCGAGTGGACATTCGGCCCTTATGTGCGTGAGAAAGCATAATATGTCGGAGATCCGCGCGCATTTTTTGGATCGACGCTGGAGCCCCTCGCGGCGCCTCCGTTGCCGCCCCTGGCGCGCTTCAAGCGCCATGGAGGGGGTCCCAACGCCCACCCAAGAAAACCTCGCGGACCTCCGACAGCTTAATTTTGTCCATCGATTGATCTGTCCGTCCCTTCCTGGAAAGCATGAGCTTGTGTTTTGCTTATGGATTATGTCATGCCTGGCCTTCGCATCTGATGGATCTTCGAGGCCTCTTTCACGATGGAGTTGCCCGTCAATGCTGGTTCTCCAATTTCTGCCAGTGCCGTCTACAGTGACCCCCTTTGGGATCGCCAGCTCAGAGTGGTGAATGCGGGGCCTCGGCATGAGAGTCCAGCGCCGATCTGCTTGTGCAGTGCCTTACTTGTCTTGCGCGCAGGGGCTCGCGGGGTCACTGGGGGCGCAACGATGCCCAGCGTCTTTGCCCGATCTCCTGGACCGTACTTCACAGCCTCGCCCGCGCCGGCGTCTCCTCAGCATCTCAGCTTCCTTCAGCATCTCTCGAGAGACTGTTTGCTTGTGGGAGCGTACGCGTGGGACTCTGCACGCGAGTCCAACGCCGACTTGCTTGGGCAGTGCCCTACAACTGGCACAAGGGACGCCCGGCTTTCGGCGAAGGGGCCCATGTTCTCGATCCCCCACATCCTCGTGGCCGTGCTTCGACGGTATTGGCACTGCGCGCATGCGCGCAGGGGCTAGCTGCCCGCTCGGCAATCGTGTACACCTTTGGGGGGACACCCCCCCGTGGTTCGTCGCAACCTCCTCCCTGGGCCCTGTTCTTCCTCCCGTGGCCCTCGTCATCCTCCTCCTCCCTGTTCTCTGTGATTCCAGAAGGCCCGCTGCTCTCCTCACCCGCTCTTTGCCGCCGCTCATTATGGCTGTAATTATTTACCAGGGCCCTTGGCTAATTGAGCGACGATTCCGCTCTGCGAGACCGCTAGAAACGATAGATCCGCGATCTTCCATATCACAGTGGCAGCTTGGAGCGAGGCTCGCAGTCCGGGCCCGCGGGGCCGTACATAACAACGACGGCGTCTGCGACACGTCGATCCATACTGGAATCGAAGACCAGCGTCTTCCTGGTGATCTGCGTCACCCAGCTGCTGCGCAGCACACGCGCTGGCGTCAGCGTCGCCAGCAGCAACGCCTACTACGCCAACCCTGCCAACTCCTACGCCAGTGTTTGCGACGCCAGCACTCACGCCTACTACGCCTACCCTGCCAACTCTCACGCCAGCGTCAGCGACGCCAGCAGCAACGCCTACTACGCCTTCAACGCCAGCTCTCACGCCAGCGTCAGCGACGCCAGCACCTACGCCGACAAGTTCGATTTCTCGTGCCTTCAGAACTTCAGCGAAGCCGCCGAGTGAAATTTCACATGCTCCCCGAACTTCAGCGAAACCGCCAAGTTGGATTTCTCTTTCCCTGAGAACATCAGCGACGCCGCCTAGTTCGATTTTCTGCACTCCCAGAACTTCAGCGAAGCCACGGAGTTCGATTCCCTTTACTCCAACTCCCTTCTCGGAAAGATGACGGACATTTCTCATACTTTCAGACAGTCAGTCAAACCGACATGGAACTGATATCCCTCGAAGTGGAGAGACTAGAAGCAGAGGGTGAAGCTGTGGAAGCTCAGCGAGTACCTCTCAGTCACACAGAGTCTCGCATCGAAGCTCGTGCTCAGGCTCAGCGGGGCAGCTAGAACCGAAGCGTTGAATATGACGGAGGAGCAGCTGCACCTGGCAGCTTCAGCACTCATCGAGGGCGCCGACGAGAAGAAGCGCCGCAGGAATCAGGTCGGCATCGAGAATGTCTACGGCACTTGCAGGCGAACCTGGGCCAGCAGAAGCCCGTGCAGCACGGCGAGGCCCTCGAGAAGTTACTCGAATATACCCAGCATCGCCGACGGCGAGGTGAACGAATGACGTACTGGCTCATCCGCGTCGAGACGAGTCTACAGCAGCAACGCGACAGCGAGACGGACCTCAACGCGCTGGGCGACGTAGCGGTAGCGGGGCGGTTCCTGCCGCGAAAGGCCGGGCTCGCGGCCGAGCGCCGCGAGCGCGCCGCGGGCAACCAGCCCGACGAACGCTGCGGTGATCAGCGCATCCGTGGACTGCTGTCGCGGATGTTTCCGGATATCCACAACTCCGAGCGCCGCGCCCCGCCGCCCTCGAGGGCGCGGGGCAATAAGTCGCGCCCCCATGGCGGCTTGCGCAGCAATGCTTCCTCCAGCCGCGGAGGGCGATCTACCAGCGTCGTCGACGAGCCCGCCGACGAGGGCGACGAAGAGCAAGAGGAGGACGACGAGGGCGAGGCCGACGCGCAGGACATCGTTCGTCAGGAGCTCGAGGCCTGCAGCGCCGAGCTCGAGACCTCCAGCGTGGACATCTCCGAGCTGTTCGACGGCGACGACTCTGCCGTTGTCGAGGCCGCCGCGGCGGAGCTTGTCGCCATTCCCGAGGCCATGGCCGCCGTCAGGTCAGCCCGGGAGGCCCTGAAGTGAAGGGCCGCGGCAATTCGAACAAGTCCGCGCGGTCTCGCCGCCCGGCCAAGCTCCAGAACCTGGTCGACCAGCGCGGGAAGACGTCGCAGTGCTGGGACTGCGGCGAGACCGCGCACTGGGCAGGAGATAAGGAGTGCCCCACGCTGGGCGCTCGCAACTTCGCGCCCGAGAGCGGCAAGGCCAAGGGCGGTGGGCGGGGGGGCCGAGGAGGTCGCCCGCAACGCCAGGCGCGCATCACCGAGCAGGTCCAGTTCGCAGACGAGGAGATTGCCCTTCACCCGCAGGGACTTGCGTCGCCGCCTCCTGAGGCCTGCGTCTCAGAGCGGCTGATTCACCACCTGCGGATCGTGAACGTCGCGATCGGCAACGGGAAGCCCGCGGACGAAGGCGTCGGCGTGGTGGGCGCCGCCTGCCTCTTCTGCGTCTCGGGCAGGAAGTGGTGCGACAACTGCTGGGGCACCCTCGCCGGGATGAGCCTCGCCGACCAGATCCCCGAGGGGCCCGAGGACGAAGTCTACAGGTTCGGCAGCGGAGGCGCTCCCCCGAGCAATCTGCGCGTCACCGCGCCGCTCGTGCTCTGCGGCCAGGCCGGCCGCGTCGTGTTCAGCGTCGTGAACAGCCCCGCGCTTGGCCTGCTCATTGGCCGCGACTTCGCGCAGCCTTCCAAGATCGACATCTCTCTCTGGAAGGGCCAGATCCGCATCGGGAACTCCACCCAGAAGCCCATGGCGAGCGCCGCGGGCCACCCCGTGATCAAGTTGCAGCCGGACGACTGGCAGGCCATCAAGGACGCTGGCGTGGAGCGACCTGCCAAGCCAGCCAGCCGACCGAAGGTGAGCGACGAACCTACGGTCAACGCTGCGATCAAGACCGGCACGCTGATTGATACGCTTAACAAGCTC